TAGTTACCTAAGTGTACTGTAAAGTCGAAAAAGACTTACCAAAGGCAAAAATTTTAAAATAAAAATTCTAGTTATCTGCCCACCCCGATTAGCTAAAAGGTACAGTCAAATAAAATTAGGGTAGTCCATAGCTTGCAAGATGAAAAGTATAAAAAACAACAAAACAGGGTTTTATGCATTTATAATCAACTCTCAATCTTCATTCATCATCGTTTTCAAGTTTTATCAGTCCTCTGACTACTCAAAGGAGTGGGTTACCAGTACCCTCTCTTTCACAACGATTTCAACAAATTGCCAGGTTTTTTTTTTCTCCAATTTCCGTTTACGATATTAACAAAATTAATGTTATACCAGTGACTCGTCAAATCCTCTTCTATTTTTCTATTTCCTCAATTGTTCGCCCGTTTTTTGTATCATAAATTGTCGTTCCTCTATCTTTGTTTCGTCACTTCTTCGATTAGAACTTGTACTATCTCTACTGAATAAACTTCCGTATTGGACTCGCTTATGAAAGACTAATCTATCGTCAATCTAAGAAATTAAATGAAATTCTTCACAAAGACAAGATCGACTTTAGAGATTGTTGTCTTTGTAAATTAGAAGAGTAGGATCTCTAAAATTAGAAGTCAAGTTTGAGGGGTTATTATTCAGGGTAAGGTATAAGGCAGGTATTAAGAGGAAAAATAGTGCAAAAGGTTCGGTAGGACTTATATAAGAATATCACTCTTAAACAAATTACGGTAGAAGGAAACCAAAAGTTCCACTACAGTAATTTTGGATTTTTTCTTTTTTCTCTTATTGTGTTTCATTGAAAGAAAGTCTTTATAATACTTGTAAAATTAAAGCCTTATTTATCTTAGTGGTGGGGAACTTTAACGGAACAATAAAAACAGAAAAGGAATACTGGAAAAATTAAACGGAGCAAAAAAAAAAGCTGTAAGAAAAAAACTTGTTCTGCTTTCATCTTTTTTACCCTTTTATCGTTTCATCTCAGTTGGACTTTTTGGGTAGGGGTACAACGGTATGAATATACCGATGTGATGCAGATAAAAGGAGGTGAAAGATCAGGAAGGGCGAATAAGCATAAAAGTACTGTTTAGCGGATTTGTCATGGCTACCGACAGAATTTCAAAACCCAGGAAATGTTTGTTACAATCTTTCCTCTATATGTCCCTGTGGGGAATCTTGGCAGCTTCCTTTAGTTCCTTTTTAAGATATGAATAGCCGTTTATTGCGTTACAAGGATGTACGATTCCAGAGAACTGGCTCTACCGTTGCTCAGCGCAAGTATTTCCTACTTACTTAAGTTACTGCTACCTTTTGACGTTTGTAGCAGTTTTTGCTTACTTAATTTCTTACTTTTTCCCGACCTTTGTGAGGACTGTTACTGGAATAAGCAAGTCTTGGACAGTCCTTTGATTAGTACTGCGCCTTAATGGAGAGCTGTCTTACCGTATTCACAGTCAAAGTATTTTCGTTCCCCCCTTTTCTTGTTTTTTGACGAGTTATATCTTAATCCGTTCTGCAAGTATTTCCTTGTTTTCTTCTTCAGCTAAGTTGCCTACTCTAGCATGATCTACTAAAAAGACCGCATTCTTTCCTTGTACCGCTAACGGGATTTTTTCAGAACGTTCTGCAACCTTTGTCGGAAATGGGCCTAATTCTTGTTCTCCCTCTTTGCCTAGCCCCATAATCTTCATGAAGATGCTCCTCCTCA